TTTCAACAAGATGAAGACTTTACTTCTTCTAAAAAAAAATTTTTAATTTAACTACACTAAGACCAAAATTATAATCTACTTTTCGACGCTCCGTACAAGATTAAGTAAACTGTACAAATAAAAATAAAGAGCAGTTATTGAATTCAAGAATTAATACTTACGGTTATAAAGATTATGACAGAAAAAGATTTATTAAATAATGGAGTAAAAACACATTAAGGTGGGATGGTTACAGTAAGAAAAACAAAATACCAAGTAACAGCGTTCTTGCAGGCACACAATCTTTACCTACATCCCCTATCGAACGCCATGACGGCAGTTACTTAAATCAAGAACAAAACCATTAACTTCCGTTGTCACCTCAAACTCTAATCTCTCCCACTATAGTAATTCAATGGATCAATGAAACAATAAACAAATTTATCGATAACGGAAATCTCCTAAGAGCCAGATCTCTAATTTAATCACACTGAAATGGTCCTACTAGAAATTAATTACAAAATTCGAATGATGAATAATACAAACAAGGTTCATTACCTACAGATTAAAACAGTTGTTAAAATAAAATGAAAATTTTTCTTAATCGAAAAACAAAAATTAAAACTGATCACGATATCAAGAAAACTTCCAATCAAAATATTTTACTGCAAGCAAGCCATACAGCAGCGTTAGAACCCATACAGCAAACTTGGAACTTGGCTCGTATCAAAAAATTTATAAAAAATACTAGTCCTGTTGAAATCTATCTAATCTAACTCATTCAATAAATAAATAAGCATTTATAAGTATTTATAAGAATTTAACTTACACCAAGGAAAATTACATTCATTTTATTTCTGAAACTGTAGACTTAAAATCTATAAACAGTAAGCTACTATCAGATATAGGAGCTAAATCAAAAGAAGAATTATTAGACATTCAACCAAAATTGGAAAATTTTATCACTACAAAAAACTGAAATCGCTATATATTTTCACTAATCGTGAACAAAAACAAAAACTTTACTGATAAAATAAAACCTAGCATTTTACGAACCTGCTTTAAATCTTGCATATGCTTTATCATTAAAGGAAGTTAAAACTGCTCGTATTTCTAGGAAATGTGAACTTACCGATTATCTCACTAGAGGAGAAATGCCATCAATTTTGTATAAAAAATCACGTCACTTTTCCCTTACATTAAAAATTTGTTTTGGTGCACGTTCTTATCTAACTCTAGAAAATAGAAAGGGAACATTAGTTAAATGTCATACTAGCTTATTTGGAGATCATAGAGGAGTAGTGAAATCTTATAGAAGAATAAAATAATAATAATATTGGGAGAAAATGCTGACATTACTGAATACATACAAAAATGTCAAATTTACCAGGAACAAAAATTAGTCCACACAAAAAGCAGAGAACCTATGGTAATAACAGATTCACTATCAGAAGTATTTAATAAAGTCGTATTAGATAAAGTAGGCCCATTTCCATAAAGTTTTTCTGGAAATAAACACATTTTAATAATGCAATGCTCTCTTACAAAATTTTCTATTTCAACTTTGGACATTTCTAGAATTATTATCAGTGACAGATCAAAAAGTTTCGTTAATCAAGTGTTGACAAAAGTATAAAAAATTTATGGATTCTGTTAAGCTCTCACTAGTGCGGTGACAGTGAGATACCGTCGAGCCATCATTGGTAGGCTAGGAGAGATAGGGGGAAAGAGGAAAGAGGAAAAGCGAAGAGGACAGTTAGGAAAAGAGGAAAAAGAGTCACAGCGAAGAGGTCAGATTAGCTTGGGCCTGCAAGCTTGCAAGAAGCGATTTGTTGTTGATGCCCGAGGAGCAATTTTTCTTGTTTTTTTTTTTTTTTACGCGAGAAGCGTCGTTTAGAGCTCACTTCGTTTTCCGTGCTGTTGTTATTACGGCTGCGCTTGAGTGTCTCCAGTGCAGTGTTTGGTGCTGAGTTGTCCTGACCCTGCTAAGATAGCAGGCGACGCTGGACTCAGGGTTACCAAGGCCAACTTGGACGACCTTGTCTTTCGAACGTTGCCAGTAAGGACCCCTAATGGCCTTAGCGTTCCCACTCGATCGCTGCTTGAGATTCTGACCTGGCAGAGGTATCGTCAAGGAGCTTATCAGCACCTGTAAGTACCGGTCAACAGGCAGTTTGATTTTAAAGGGTAGCGGCCCTCGATTAGCCCGCGTAGGTCTGCGCGATTTGCGATTTCGCGCCATGAGCATGTCGAGCAATCGTGTTCAAAGTGTGAGAACACACATACTTACACGCCTACACCCGTGAGTACTTTTATGTTTCGTATAATATTTTTTTAAAAGTAATATCTTCTTTTTTTTTCAATATTATTCGCAAGTGTTTATTTGTTGTCTGCCCGATTCCCCCCTTGTGTTATGATAAAGTCGTTGCGAGAAGCGAAGAAGCCTGTAGCCGCAATACTTAGCCCCTGTAGTGTCTTGATGAACGAGATCAGCGTATACAGATAACAAAGAGTCACTGAGGGTGTCCGAGCAACACAGGCCGGGTCAAGGTTGAAGTCTCCACTTCGCAAATCGGCATTGTATGTACCCCGTAACATTGATGCCCGACGTAACAGCCCACGGTAAGGTATCGAGCAACATCGTCTATAAGGCAGACGACCTCTACTATTACTATACATATTTGGTCCTTAGAACCGGATTCCAAGCAAGTAAGAAACAAACAGCAACCATTGCAGAGCAGGCGTAAGCCAAGGAGAGCATTCAGCACAAAACATAATGTGAGTATACTATTACTGATGTCAAAGTGTTGGTTGTATTAAGCCATCGTGGCCGCCATCATGCCCACGGTCCAGTTTGCGTTGCCTGATCATGGCCACAACGAGGTCGTGCCGCCATTAACGCGTGCCTTACGAGCATCCGCGTCACAAGTTGAAAACAAGGCTGCCACGGCCACCACATAGCCCGTGGTCCAGCGCTTGTCATACATACGGCCACGGCAGACATGAAGCCGTGTCGCTGGTAGTGGTTATTTTGTCAGTAGCGGCGGCCACATTGCCTTCCTTACGGGTGTGCCTATACCTTGTCATGACTAGAGCAAACGCAATACGGGCGGTTTATCAAGGTGAGCATTTAACCTTTATTTTTTAATGCGTGATGCACGCAAGCGTCTACGCGCCCACATGGACATATGGGTGCGTATGTGCGTGTGAGCGTGTGTGTGTACATACGGTGTGAGTCTCTTTCTTTCTCGCTCCCTCTTCTTCTCCTCGTCGTATAACCGCACACATACGTGTTAATTGTGGAAGTGAGGACAAAGCCAGGCTTGGCCCGATGGCAGTAGCACCTTCGTGCAACCGTCAAGCTCATGATTACTCTTTCAGGTCCGACAAAGGCTGGGCTAACCTATTTGGCGCCCAATGCGCTCTGGCAGACATCATCGCTCGTTTCGCGCTGGCCGTCACGCAAACTGAGCCCTTGGCCTGGACCACCGGCCTCGTCGAAGTGAGGCTTGGGTTGCTGGATGGCTACTGGAGCGACTTTCAGGCCAATCATCTGAGGCTCATTGAGACGCCTCCTCCCAAGAAGCAGGAGTCACTAACCCAAATGTACTCGAAATCGGAGGCTGAGTACATAGAGTCACGCGCCCACCTCTACAACGCGAGGAGCATCCTCGCACCACCTCCTGGCAACGGCGGAGCGGGCCCGAGGTGCGCTACATCGAGTTGTGGATCCCGCCTGCCTCGAATTAGTATTACCGCCTTCTCCGGAAAAAGAGAAGACTGTGAGAGCTTCCGGGATCTCTTTCAAGCACTAGTTCATAACGATCAACAGCTCACCGATGTCGAGCGACTGTTTTACTTAAAGTCTCTCGTGGAAGGAGATGTCAAAACAGCACTCGACGTGATTCAGATTGTTGGCGCCAACTACTCGACCGCTTAGGCCGCGCTCGAGGCATGATTTAAGCACCGCCGTCTCCTAGTACACGATCATCTAACAGCGCTACGCAACATCAGGCTTTTAAGGAACGAGTCGGTCAGAGGTTTGCGGAGCCTCCTTGATACGCTGAGTCGCCACTGGGACCAGTTGCAAGCTTTGGGCCGTCCTGTCCTCCAGTGGTATGACTGGCTGATCTCTTGTGCCATGACCGGCATGGACCCAACTACCCAGCGTGCCTGGAAGGACGAGCTCGAGCGGCTCAAGGGCACCAACACAAGGGCTGGGATTGTGACTTCGACTTTCGCCGCCATGACAAACTTTCTTCACCGACAGTGCCGCGCTCTCCATTGAGGCATCTCGCCCAGCGTGGCCAGCGAGCACGCCCAGCAACTGTCCACCAGCTTTCTCATCTTCTGGGAGGCACTATCGCTCCCTCGCAACCAGCGCAGCTCTGCCTCCGTGCCCGTCCTGCAGCGAAACCCATTACCTGGGGCACTGCGCTCGATTCCAAGGCCTCGACGCGCACGCTCGGCGAGACCTGGTCTACCAAGCCCGACTATGTTTTAATTGCCTCCAAACGGGCCACCTGTTAAAGTTCTGCCCCTCCCTATCTGTTTGTCAGCACTGCCGAGAACAGCACCACAGCCTGCTTCACGACAGCAGCCGTCGACGGCCATAGGACCCATCTGACGGTCAGCCATCACCAAAACGGCCGAAGGCCGACCCCGTCGGTGCAACCCGTGCCGACGACCTGGGCCCGTCGCCCTCATCCTGACTAGCCATGCTACCGACCGCTCTCGTCCAGCTGAGTGGGCCGTCCGGCCGGTGCGCGACAGTCTGAGCCCTCCTCAATGCATGCTCCAAGGTCACGATCGTCATTGCGAACCTGGCGCGACGGCTCAACGCCACGTTGGAGCTCACCAATCCGAGCATTTCCGGAGTAGGTGGTGAGTCTGTTGTCCACTCAAGAACTCGGGCCCATCTGCACATTGACCCGGGCAGAGATGCGCCATCGATCACCTTGGCGGCACTCTGCTTACCTCAGCTCGGGCTCGTATCACCGTCCGCTCCGCTGCACCCATCCATGGCCGAGCAGTGGCTTGATCTTCAGCCTCTGGCCGACCCCGCATTAGGTACACCTACTAGTGTGGACCTGCTCCTCGGTGCTGACGTCTACAGCCGCATATTGCAGGCGGAATCCGTCCAGCGGGGCGACATTATCGGTCAGCACACGATATTCGGCTGGACCCTCGTTGGCCGTGCTCCTGGCCTGCAGCCGGCAGCTTTTATTGTTGGCTCAAAACTGCACGAGGACGGAGCACCATCTTGGCATCGCGAACTGGCTGCGCTGCTGCAGCGCTTTTGGGAGCTCGAGGAAGTACTGCAAGTCAACCGCCGCGCTCCTTGGACATTGAGTGCGAGCGCATCTTCCTCGATCACCATCGTGCTTCGGATGGCCGCTATGTCATTCGTCTGCCATTGAAGAGCGACAGTGCGCGGCTGCTCGGCAACAGCCTGCAGAGTGCCACGGCCGCCCTTCACTCGTTGCATCGTCGCCTCCAGCGGACCCCAGCGATCGGTGCTGAGTATGCACAATTTATGGCAGAGTATATCGCTCTGGGCCATATGAGGCCACTGCCTGACGATCTGCGCACGGCATCGCCCCGACCAGTGCACTATATCCAACATCACGGCATCTGGCAGAGCAGCGATAAAGGCCGCAGGCTTCGCGTCGTGTTCAACGCCTTGAAACCAGCATCGAGCGGCTACAGCTTAAACGACGTCCTCTTCGCGGGCCCTAGACTGCAGACCACGCTTCCCAGCGTGCTCCTACGCTGGTGACGACACCGAATCGCCTTTTGCAGCGACGTCCGCATGATGTTTCGTCAGATCTGGATTGACAAGCGTGACATCGACCTACAGCGTATCTTGTGGAGCCCTGATCCAAACCAACCGCCCGCGCACTACCAGCTGTTGACAGTCACCTACGGCGCTTCGTGCTCACCGTACCTCTCCTTACACACTGTGCAGCAGCTGTGCGAGGACGAAGGACACCGTTGGCCCGAGGCACTTCCTGTGGTAATGAACGACCCCTACGTTGACGACATACTCTCCGCTGCCAACGACATCACCACGGCTCGACATATTCGTGACCAGCTAATCGAACTTCTGCAAGCTGGCGGGTTTTCTCTGCGCAAGTGGGTAGCCAATGTGCCCAAGCTGCTGGACGACCTCCCCGACGACGTGCACCTGCGGCCTACTTGGTACAGCTTGGCGCTGAAGGTCTCGTTAGTGAGCTCGGTGTGCGCTGGGACCCACGGTCAGATTTCTTCCTGCTAACATCTCCCCTCATACAGCACCAAACCACCAAGAGGACCATGCTCGCAGCGCTCGCGGGCCTGTTTGATCAATGAGGTTGGCTTGCACCGATCGCGCTGAACGCCAAACTCCTGCTGCAAGACTTATGGCGAGCCAACCTGGACTGGGACGAGTCTGCTCCGTCGTCCATGATTCAAAGGTGCACTGCCTTTGCCGCCGAGCTCCAGGCCATCTCCTGTCTATCCCTGCCTCGTTGGATCGGAACGGTCGCGTCAGCGGACATTCACCTGCACACATTTTCCGATGCCAGCCGCCGCGCGATGGATGCTATCCTGTACTCTAGACTCCAGGTCGCGGACGGTTCTGTTCGCTACCACATCCTCCTCGCTCGCACGAAGCTGGCGCCCATCCGCACTCTTAAGCCAATGGCCGAGCCCATGGCCCGAATGACCATTCCTCGCTTGGAGCTCCGCACCGCCCTGCTGGCTAATAAGCTGCTGCGCTCGACGGCCTAAGAACTAGCAGTTCCGATTGAGCGCTGTCACGCCTGGTGCGACTCGCAAATTGTGCTGCACTGGATTCGCTCCGATCAGCCAACCAACAACGCCCTTGTCGACAACTACATGGCCCTGATACAGGATACGCTACCCTCCAGCGCCTGGCGGTACGTGCCGTCGCAGTCCAATCCAGCCGACGTGGCCACTTGAAGCGCGGACATGTCCGGTCTCAGACAACAACTTCTGTGGTGGGACAGTCCACCATGGCTTGCCGACAACGACCGAGCCTGGCCCCAGGAAGCACTTCAAGAGGTGACACCCTTGCCGTTAGCTTGCTACGCCACCCATCGGGCTGAGCCAAGCATACTAGAACGATATTCCAAGCTTCACATTCTACTCGTCGTTCTCGTGCGCACTCGTCGGTGGGTCCGGCGCCAGTTGCGTCGCCCACCTGTGCTGCCGGTGCTTTCACCACTGACCCCTGCCGAGCTTTAAGATGCCTTCCTGGCCTGCGTCCATTTGAGCCAATCGGAAACGTTCGGCGAAGAGCGCGCGCGTTTGCAGAACGGCGAGCAATTGCCAAAACGGAATCCTTTGACTTCTCTTGCGGCTTTTCTCGACACCAACGGCGTTCTGCGCGTTGGCGGGCGGCTGGGTTTCTTCTCGCTATCTTACGAAGAGTGGCATCCACCGATCCTTAGCGGAGCCTCATCGCTCGCCTCGCTGGTCCTTTCTTGGGCCCATACTCGAGCTCTCCACGGCGGATACAGGGTCACTAGTGACTACGCGTTGAAGTGCGCATGGATTCTCGGTGGCCCATAGAGAATTAAGGCTTAATTGCGGCTGTGTGTCGTATACTCTCGACTCCAGGCTCGCTCCACGACCCAGATGATGGCCCCCTTACCAGCTTCACGAGTCACACCTTCCCGCACTTTTGGCCGCACGGGTGTCGACAACGCCGGGCCTTTTTCAGTACTTGCGTCAAAAGGACGAGGCATACGCACTACGAATAGTTACATCGCCGTCTTCGTGTGCATGACGGCAAAGGCCCTACACCTCGAGCTCGTCGGTGATCTCTCCACAGCCGCCTTCCTGGGCGCTCTCGCTCGGTTCACCAGTCGTCGCGGTCAACCCTCTGAACTCTGGAGCGACAATGCCACTTGCTTTCGCCGCGCTGATCTGGAACTGCGCGAGGCGTTACAAATTGCGGAGATTGACTGGGACCTCGTTGCCGGCTTTCTCGCTTCGCAAGGTATTGCTTGGCACTTCATCCCCCCCGGAGCTCCACATTTCGGCAGATTCTGGGAAGCCGCCTTCAAGTCAGTCAAAGGCCACCTCCGACACGTAATGGGCTCCCGTCATCTGACCTTCAAAGAATTCTTCACCGTACTAGTTGGGATTGAGATGGTGCTCAACGGAAGACCCTTGACACCGCTCTCCGGCGACCCTTCCGACCTCGAGGTACTTACACCAGGCCACTTCCTTGTTGGAGCCCCACTTGATTCCATCATCCAGCCCGGGCCTCCCACTGAGAACTAGGACGCTCTCTCGCATTGGGACCTCGTGAGAGCCATTCGAGCTCAGTTCTGGTCACGCTGGAGCCGAGAGTACCTTAATACACTCCAGCAGAGGCTGAAGTGGACCGTTGCTTGCCGAAGTTTTGCCGTCGGCGACTTCGTCATCCTACTGGACGCCACCCTTCTCCAATCGATCGGTCGTTGGCCGCTAGGTCGTATCATTTGCGCCCAGCCTGGTCCTAATGGATTGGTACGCGCGGTCACCGTGAAGACAGCGACTGGCGAGTACGTACGAACGATTGTCAAACTGGCCTTACTCCCCGTAGCAAACTCCAGTCCACCAACGCCACCCCCTGATGGTCGAGAAGGCCGATCCGCCTTGGCGGGCGGCGACTAGTATGTCGCTCCAGGAGCGATGTGGGCGGATTGTTCGGCTCGTTTCCCGCGATCAACGTCTGACAAGATGACGGCACGCGCGCCCTCCTTCGTTCTGCGCGCGTACTGCTCCTGCACAGCTGCCGAGCTTCGCGCGGGCTGACACACTGACGATCAAGGACCCAAGGAAGAAAGAGCTGAGGGAGATCACTACGACAGAAGTGCTATAATTGTCTGCAACTCTGTACTAGGCGCTAAGTTATATCCAATAAAGATTTTCAAAACTGAACACATATAGTATAGTTGTTACTATACATATAGTAATAGTGAAGTTGGAGCTGTAGCAGTATTTACAGCAAAACAAAATAGATCACGTGTACAACGCGTAGAACGCGCATAACATATGCAAGAGACACCAGTAGATTCGAGTAGATCGCGCGCGTAAACAAAACAGTGGCTTTGTTTGTGTGACAATTTTGAGTCGTTGCTGACTCACAGCACTCAAAATTATTGTGTACTAGTGTGAGTGAGAAACCAAATAATATTTCGAGAAGAAATATTATTTTTGACAGCCAACAAGCTTAGCCAGTTAAATTGGATTTTCACAGACAGCGTACGCTAATCTACAGCGCATATGGCATAGTACACATATATGTATGTATGTCTATATATATATATATATATGTATGTATATGTATACGCGGCCGATTAACGCAAATGAACGATCGATCGGTGGATTAAAACCTTGTTTGCCAACAATACCTCGCTCGCTTCGTGTAATTGAGTGCTATAAGTGTACGCGCCCCGGCGGCCGAGTTTATGAATGAGCCCCGGCGCGCATAAATTATACCCGAGAGGTGTATTCGACTACCGTCGGTTAATTTGGTTGTTGTTATTATTGGAAAGTGGTGGTGATTTTTACTTTTTTTATTTTTTTATTTTAAGGGCTCGAGATGTGTTGATGGCTGATTCCTCGCTTATGAATGTGTCAAGTAACTTAATTTTATTGCAAATGGAGTAACTATTATATATGTGTGTAATATAAAATATTTTGATTAAGCGTTGTGCAAGGATGTGTTTGCTGGGCAGGTTCTGCTAGTGATTTAGAATGAAACGATGTTTGATCTGTGATCTAATTATTTAATTATCATTTAAGTACATTAACTGCACGTAGCAACAGTGTTTCTTTGAATTTGTATAAAATAGTGGGCCTTACTTAATTAAGTGGGAGAATTTCTAGGAGGTTGTACGGGCCTATTGTCA